TGTGATAATATATTCTGAACTGTGTTGCCTTAAAGCCACTGAACGGACAGTCCTTTACTATTAGGAGCTGCTAGAACATACGTGTTCAGGCTATACATCGTCTTTGGTAATCATTTGCAGTGCTTAATTTTCCCATCTACATTCTTCTTTGTCTAATTCTGGATTGCAGACCTCTCTTGAGTGGAAATGTCTTGGACTTACCTGTGTGCCATCAGGAACGTTACACAGCCACAAAACCCTTGTGTGATTCCTGTCCATATATCCTGGGGCACCTGCTGCTGTTGTAGGCGGAGGGGCAGCATTTTGGCTTGAGTCCACTCACTCTGAGAGGGTACACAGTGCACAGGTGGCTGCTGTTGTGGTTGCTACCAGCTTGCCTGTGGTGACCCAGATCCCCAGCACAAAGGGCAAAGCTTTCACTCTACGTTTCTGTGTGTGGCCTTAGAGCCCGTAGAATCCTGTAGGGTCCATCGGGGGACCAAGCCAGGCCCTATCTGCAATGGCAGAAGAGATTTTAAAGTACCAAGCGAGGACTTGTAGGAGAGAGGGAGGGAGAGAAGCAAAGTGAAGAGAAGGAAATCGTCTTCCTTTTTACTGTACTCCTCTGGTGCTATCATCAGCATCGGATGGCTTTGGAGCCAAGAAAAGCAGAGCTGGCATGTGTGAGATCAAGGAATTCTATGGCTTGTGGCCCTTCAGCCACTCTCCCTCCCTCCCTCCCTCCCTCCAGGCTGCTGCCAGAGAGATTCCCTGGAATCACAGGGGTGGTGGGTCAGTGCAGTCCTCTGCTGCTTAAGGGACCTGTGGGTGGTGGGGAGATGGTTCTGTGACCCTGAAGCAACCTCATCAGTAACCATGAACACCGAAGAACTGAACTGAGCGGTGACGCACGAAATCTTACAGCCTGCTACACAGGGGTCATTTCCTGCAGGAGCGCACAGGAGTGGCGATCCGGCAGTAAAGAACCCAGGGGGCGGGCACATGCAACAAGCCCCGCCCCCTGCTCCCAGCAGCCCTCAGTCAGGGCAGGAAGCAGCCAGGAAAGTTGCAGAGCGTTCTACGAAATGACCCCTACTGCTACATATTTTGTTAGTCTTTAAGGTGCTACTGGATTCTTGCTCTTTCGTACATGAACACTGAGGTTTGTAAATTCTGAGAATAAACTGTAGGGAAGGAGTGTTTAATGTGCACTAGCCTCCAATGTTTTAACTTTCATCTGGATAAGGGTGCCCCTGGAACCTGCATTACCTGGTAGCTGCTGCCAAATATAGGTACCTCAGCATAGTGACAATCCATACCTGATATCAAGGGACACCTGTCCCACTTCCTATTTGACTAACTTTTTTTTTTTAATTTATAATTTTTATTTAAGAATTTATTAACAATACAAGGTAAGTACAATAGATGTCTGCAGATGAAGTACAAAAATAGGTTAGAAAAAACATTAATGCTTAACTATGTCGGAGGAGGAGGAGATTGGATTTATACCCCACCCTCCTCCCCAGAACAGACACCCTGTGAGGTAGGTGGGGCTGAGAGAGCTCTTCCAAGGACTGCTCCTGAGAGAACAGCTCTGAGAGAACTTGTGACTGACCCAAGGTCACACCAGCAGCTGCATGTTGAGGAGTGGGAAATCAAACCCGGTTCTCCCAGATTAGAGTTCGCACTCCTAACCACTACGCCAAACTGGCTCTCTGTATTACACACTACAAGACATCTCTTAAGGCAACAATCATATAATAAGTACATATCTTTACAGGCAAATTTTAAATCAGTGTTCTGAAAGTAACTTCAGATATTATCTTAGATCTAAGCCAACTAATGTTTCAGGTTCAAGTTTCAAAAGTTGACTAGCTAACTTGAATAGGCACAATGTCCTACCGACAGCAGTTTGGTTCCGGGATGTGAAAGCAAACCCTGCCCACAGGATTTCCCTAATTTTAAGAATAGTGAAACTTTCTTTGGCCTTTAGTAGCTATTCACCTTGGCTGTGATGGGTCTAGAGGCTTGCTCTGAATTTCTGATCCTTTTCAAGATGGAAGGTTGGAAGGGGTTTCCTGCCCCAAGGGGGGGGGGTGTCGACTCACAACACTGGCTCTGAGCAGAGGGTTTTGCCTGTGCCAAACAGCTAATGATCTCTGTGCTTGTTCTCCCAATGAGAAGTACAAATGTGCTGCTTCTCTATTCTCTCAGGATTGGTTTCCCTCATTCATCACATGTGGTCTTTATAGTGTTGCTGTTGCATCATGGGCAATGGCTTGCCTGTCTCTTGAGTGCTAAAGCTTGTGCCGTTTTACCCAGAACAGGAGTTTGATATGTTGTTCCAGTCCTATGCAGTTCCATGCCCAAGTAATTCTGCTTGGGAATCAGTAAAAGTGCTTGGTGTGCTCAGAATGGAGCATTTGTGCTTGTGTGTTTTATTGTTCCTATGGCAGACATTCCTGACTGGTCCCAGCTATAGGAGGGGGCACCTTTAGACCCTGTATAGAATTCGACTCTGTCCCACGTCTCTGTTTAGTTGACATGACTCACATGAGTGCTTGCAAGAAGAACAGAACATACACATATAATGAGCTATGAAAAGAATGACGGAGGGCACCTTTAGACCCTGTATAGAATTCGACTCTGTCCCACGTCTCTGTTTGGTCGACATGACTCACATGCGTGCTTGCAAGAAGAACAGAACATACACATATAATGAGCTATGAAAAGAATGACGGAACGGGGAAGGCCTCCCCACGTGTGTGTGTGAACAGGTAAGCGTTTCCCCCCCCGCTTACACACATAGGTATGAGCAGGGGTCAGAGGTCATATCGGGGGGGATCGCAGTCCCCCAGGGTGAGGTACGGGGGCGGGGCACATGACAAAGCCACGCCCCCCGCTTCCGGCCCTCATTCAGCCAGGAGGAGGCAGGAGAAGAGGGAGGGTAAGTTGCTTCCTCCCTGCCTCTCCCCACCCCTGCCTGCCTGGGGCCAGGGAGGGCCTTCGCGGGGCTTCCTTGCGCTCCTGCCGGCCTTGCAGGTCCACTGCCGGGCCCCTCATGGGGCTCAGCAGTGGAGCTGCA